CCCCGAGGCCTGCTATAACTTGCATTTCCTGCAACCAGGATCCCGTAATATCGACGATTTCGGATCCCTGGGAAGGTGCCACCATCTCGTCCCATTTTCCTTGGACGCTACAAGCGTTTGTATACCAGACTGCAATATTTTCTGCTTGTAGTTGTTCCGAATGAGGCCCTTTTATACTCTTGGACTCTTCGTGCGCAATACCCGAGGGATACCTCCATTTTTTGCAGTTGTGTATCAGCTGGAGGCAGTCTCCGCTATCCAAGATATGCCGCCTTTAGATCTATCTGGTCTTCTTACTTGGATGCCTGCGGCGTGACGTTTTCAGGAACTCTAGGTCCTCCCGTTTGGGACTAGTATTTGTGCCCAATCCTGGCCGGCGTTTCCGTGTATTCGCTACTACTGTTGCCCGGCTGCGGTCTTCCTACACCTTTTCGCGTNGCGTAAAGAGGTTCCCTGCGCTTCGTTCCTGAGATTATCTTGCTCTGAGGAGATGGATCTCTGTGCTACAGTTTTTAGTTTCGCAGCTGCTTCGCGGCTGGAAGCTGTGGCGGTTTTCTCCGCTCCAACCGCTTTCGCTTCTTTCCCCCTGAATTCTCGCAGCGGAGTCCCTTTAGGTTTTGGCGTTGACTTAATCAATGGTGAACCCTTCGGTCCCTGTGTGCCCTTTGGTGCGCACATCTCGCCTTGGGNTTTTAGGGTACTTCTACCCTTCTTAACTACTGCATTCTTCGGCGGCCCTACTTCCTGTTTACTGGTGGGTGACCAGTTTGTTCTACGGACCACCGTATCTGGGGTGACAAGTATGCCGCCCAATGTGATGCTTTCTATTGCCGCTGATCTGGACAATAGGCGGTCTCTGGCATACACACTGGTGAGGGCTAACTATATAGGCCGGGGTTGGGTGGCTCTTTCGCGGTTCCATAGTCCTACCCTATGCCACTTCACAAGTCTCATCATGGTAGGAATCCCCGCTAGCCTAAGAGCGGTCTGCACATACTTCCGGTCCGGCTCGTGCCGAGACTTGGAGTCTCTAATCACGGGCTCCACGCAGTTATGCAGAAGTATATTCTCAGCCCTTCCTATGATTGCTTGATTAGTTTTTTTTCGGGAGTTTCACCTCTTTTTCAAACCGTTTCAACCTTTCTTTTATACATACCATACCCTCCGCGTGCCCCTCTCGAGCTACTGCGGTAGTTTTCCTTTCTTATTGACATCTGGTTCCCGGTTTTTCTTATGGTTTGCTTTTTTTCTTTTGGGCACCCCGGGTTTTGTCTCCTTTGGCTGATCCGGCTGACAGGTGTTACCCGCCGCTTTGTCCCTGGGGATGCGTTAGCATTCCGAAATGAACGCTATACAATGGACACAGATCCATCGCAGGGAACTATGTATCATGTATAGGTTTTAGCACTTCTTTTTCAGCTTACTACAGTGCTTATGATACCGAAGATGGCAATGTTTGCACTAGTTACACTCGGCCACAAACTGTCCACAACCGCCACACTCCTTTACTTCATTCCGTGCAAACATTGAATGGTGAAAAAAATTAAAAATTTAACACCGATGAAAATGACTACTTTCAAAACTGGAAAACTGGAAAGATGGAAAACAGCTGTTCCCATTGTGCGCAGACGTAGCAGAGATCAACTAGGAGCATTCCCATAAACGCCGGACGAATGACAAACATCTTCCAATGAAAGCCCCATCAGTGCGGTCGTGTAAGGCGACCATTCCAGAAGTCCACAAAGAAATTTCCTGTATTTCCATCGGGATTAACCAGAATTCTCGAAGACCGTTTCGAAGCTATGTGAGCTATGAAACTGCATGGGATAGCCAAGCAGACAGAAGCTGTGATCAAANATACAAAGGCAGAAAATGAAGGCGAACAAACCGTTGCACCGATAGTCCATTCTTCGAGATTCCGGATTGGAGTCCACACGAAAGCCGATAGGAACGAAAAGAGCGAGCAAAAGCTGCAACATCCAGAAAGTAGCGATGAAACTAAAGCATCCCAAGTCCAAGTAAGCCTGACGATTAGTTGGCCATAATACTGCCTCAAATGGACGTGCAGGGCTCCATAACGTGTAGTGCTCTGTTTTGTTTGATTGTGCAGCATCCGCCGGAGCAAATACAAGTAAATTTAGCCAATACACCAAAGGTGTACTGATTGCAATGTTAATCGCAGCCACAAAAGGAGATGTGAGCATCCTATCGCGGACAAAATCGCTCAACTTGGATATGGATGCGCGGAACCATTTGCTTTTCTGAATAGTAGAATCTGGGCTCTTCGAGCGCTCGTGAACCACTGTTGATGGTCGAGCCGTTTCAATCTTCTCGATGATCCTCTGTGAAAAGCGACTTGGAGTGGACTCCCGAAAAACCGCTGAACGGGATCGTTTATCGCCTGATGCATCCGGAATGAACTGCGTTAGAATCATCGGCAGAGCAATATAAGGTTTTCGATCCTACAAATCGGAGCTAGGGGTGGCGGAGCGTCGAAGTCTGAGTTTCGATTCAGACGATGGAGTTTTGCTTCTCTTGTTGGGTGCTACGCGATTATGCGACCGGGATCTAGGGGCTTTCGGGACCTGCTTTTGGTGTTCAGTCGACCAACCGACCTGCTACGCTCACGTTTTGGCGACGCTTTTGCAGTCGTCTTGGATGGCTTCTTGGATGACATCGGAGTCCTAAATTACCCTATTTCTAGGCCATCTAACACAAAGCGGCAAAAATATGGCGCCGAATTTGAATAGCGCAAACGATTAAAACAATTCATACTTCTAAGAGTATGTACCAAGATGTGATGTGTTCCACAGATACAGCTTTGAAGCTGAATCAGTGTAATGATAGAAGTTCGGTTTAGAAATTGGTCACAGCTACCTGGTTTGCATGTGCCACGAAGTTTTCAGCTTTGAAGCTGAATCGGTTTGCTGCTAGGAATTTGGTTTGGAATTTGGACATATTTTCCATTTTTGACCGAAATGGACGAGATAAGGGTTTGTTTGTTTGCTGAGGTTTTTAGTAGTCGATTCCTTTTTCACAAGCTGTTGTTTCAGGTGTATTGATATTGAGGAGTTGTAAGCTCTGTGAGTCAGTTAGTTCTTTGTTAAGAACTTTTTTAAATTGGTGGCTCGTTGTAGTGCACCATATGTTCAAGGACAACTTATTCCATAGTTGAGAGTAAGAGCTTAAAAAGAATTAGGCTCGAACACTTGTTTTCGATATGGGAGTAGGAAGGGTCAGGTTTCTGTGACGCAGTGGGTAGGTAGTATCAGGTATAAAGTTTATGGGGCAAGAAGTATAAGACTGATTATAAATAATGTTATAAAGGAAAACTAGGTTCAGTTTCATTCGTCGGAGCCAAAGCGGATCTACATTTAGCAAGAGGCAGCGTTCTTTATAGTTTAAGGTTGAACTTTATCCGAGCAGCCTTTTGGTGAGCTGACGCTGGACAGTTTCGATGGCAATTCTTTCAGCTTTGCGCATGCTAGAGAAGATTATAGGGCAGTATTCTAGTAGCGGTCTAGCGTGAGATTTGTAGATAAGAAGAATACTTTCTTTTAGCTTGAAAGAGCGGAAGATGATACC